CCCCAAAACCCCAAAACCCCAAAACCCCAAAACCCCAAAACCCCTATTTGTGTTGGTAAATTTGAATAATTTATTTTTTGAAATATGAATAAGAACTTTAGTACCAACTTCAGTACTAATTTCTTGAAAGATTCCACTAATTTTACAAGAAGCAATGCGTTTAATTACCTACCGAAGAGTACTAAGCACTTGGTATCCAAAAATTTCATCCTTTCTAAGCAGATGTATGGGTCAGGCTCGAATGTAAGTAGCTGATCAAATTCAGAGAGACTTTTAGCTTAATGTTTGACTTTTTGGTGTAGATTTTAAAGAAATCCTGTAAGAAAAGTAAGAACCAAAGTACGATCAAAGGACTAAAGAATAGCCAATCTCCAGTCAAACTCGACTACAGTCAAGGTGAGATACAACTTGATGATAATTAAACTTTAATTTTTTCTAATTTTCTGATAGTTTTTCATATTTTCACTCAGAAATTTCAATAAAACTATTTAACATATTAAATTTCTTTAACAAATTCAGTTTGGCTCACTATTAAATATAGTGCCCTTCAGAGTAGAATCTTCTCTAGACTGAGCAGGGAAGGAGAACAGCAAGTACTCTATTGATAATAACCAGAAGAGAGTAATTTGCTAGACTAATCAATAGAAAGCGACAAATACCCAGAAATGATTGATGAAGACTAATTACACAAATCTTAAATAAGCTAATCAACCAGGTTACTTCTTTATCTCCAAGGTAAGCTCTCCTAACTTTTTTGTGCTTAATCATTTGATTAGAGGCAAGTATATCGGGTCACCCAAGAGCAGGCTAAAGAACAGCAAATAAAAAGGAACCAGGTATGTTAATCATTAGACTATTCAAATTTTGATACAACAAGAAATGTTGAACTCTAAACATTGTAGATAATTAACCCAAATAAAAATATAGGAAAGTCTAAAATAATGAGATGCAGTTCCTCACTCACAATGCTTCAGAATAGCATGTCAGAGCAGAGCAGCAGGAAGAAAATGCCAAATCAGAAGAGTAGTCAAGCTTTAAAAGGTCTGCCTTATAATTCAACTCAGAATATACTTAGCTCAACAATGGCGACCTCTCATCCTACAATTGCTATGTTTAATTCACTGATAAAGAACCGTAAGAGTAGCAGTAAGAAGAGGAAGAAGTCTAAAAGTAATTCTCTGTATCATAATTTAGGTAATAAGTCAAGAGTTTCATATGAGCACCAGCCTCACTCCCACAGGGCTCCTACTAGACAAAGTTTTGTAAATGTTCAAGGTCAAAATGATTCTGGAAATCCATCTAAGGTTTATAAAACTCATCCAAAAGAGGATATCAATACTTTAGTGATTAACATCTGAAATGACAAACCTCTGATGATCAAGGTTAATAGAGAAGGACATGAAAATAAAGAAATCTTACTAGATTGCTCACAGAATAATAAGAAAGAAGTTGCAAATACAACCCCTCCGTTCGCTAAAGACCTAGATATGCTCAAGCAAAGGTTCACTAAAGTGCTGAACGGGTACCAACAGAGGATTCGAGTGAGTAAAGCTGAATAGAAAGCCACCATGTTATTGTCAAAGCCAGTCTTCCTCGATAACCCTAGAATCCTTGATCAATTTACTAGAAAGTTGGAGGGGTTTTGGGGTTTTGGGGTTTTGGGGG